GCGGGCAGGAGCAGGCAGCATCTTCTGGAGCAGGCAGCATCATCTGGAGCAGGCAGGAGCAGGCAGCATCTTCTGGAGCAGGCAGGAGCAAGCAGCTTCATCTGGAGCGGGCAGCATCGTCTGGAGTGGGCAGGAGCAGGCAGCATCTTTTGGAGCGGGCAGGAGCAAGCAGCTTCGTCTGGAGCAAGCAGCATCATCTGGAGCGGGCAGCATCTTCTGGAGCAGGCAGGAGCCGGGCTGGAGCACCTCTCCTATGATGAAAAGCAGCAAGAATTGGGCTCCTTCGGCCTGGAGAAGAGAGGGCTCCGGGGAGACCTTATTGCAGTCTTCTAGTACCTGAAGGGGCTACAAGGAAGCTGGGGGGGACTTTTTACAAGGGCCTGTAGTGACAGGACAAGGGGTAACGGGTTTAAATTGAAAGTGGGGAGGTTTAGATTAGATATCAGGAAGGAATTCTTCCCAGAGAGGGTGGGGAGGCACTGGGACAGGTTGCCCAGAGAAGCTGTGGATGCCCCATCCCTGGGAGTGTCCAAGGCCAGGCTGGATGAGGCTTGGAGCAACCTGGTCTAGTGGAAGGTGTCCCTGCCCATGGCAGCGGGGTTGGAACTAGATGGTCTTTAAGGTCCCTTCCAACCCAAACCATTCTGTGATTCCATGATCCTATGATTCTGTTAGCAGGGAGGCCGCGTTCAGCCGGCTGCTGGCACGTGCGTGAGATGCGTGCGCACGCCTATGTCTCCTGGCCGCAAAGCTGCCAAATCCCTGGCCGGTTGCGGTTGTAGCAATAATTATCTGATGGTTTTTCACTGCTCAGCCCACGTGGAAGTGCTGGCTGAGGGGGTGGCAACGTGCGCCCGATTTAGACTGATTTTTGGATGCTGACGTCCAACACCAGGCCGCATCCCCCTCCTTCACGTTCTGCTGTCTTTAACACGGTCGGAGACATCCTTCTGTACGTGAGGGTATGAGCGGCTCTGCCTTCAGCCCTCTTCCGTAAATGATGATGGCTTTTGCTAACAGAGCCGCGGCAGGCGGTCTCGCCAACCGAAGGCTTTGTCGCTCATTTGCCTCCCATCCCTTGAGGTCCGTGTCTGTGAAGTGCAGGAAGGAGAGAGACTCTAAAAGATCCATCAGCAGGGAATCACTGACGCGCTGCGGAGAGGACTAGGAAACGGACCGTCCCTTCAGAGCTCGGTACGCAGCCAGGACAGCCTCCTCTGCGGGTGAGGAAACTGTCGTGCACTCCCTGCACGCTTCCCTGTGCCGCGAGCCGGCTCCAGGACAGTCCGCGGTCACGCGGGCCCTTCCGAGGTTGGAGCGTTACGTGCCCTGCACAAGCGAGCTCTCGAGCCGACGGGGGTACTGAGGGCGTCGTGATGTGACCCTGGTGCCTGGCTGTCAGGGAACGGGGCAGTTGCTCCGGGAGGATGTTGTTTACGGGGCCAAGGATGTGCATCCCCATCCGTTTGGGGAACAAAGGCACAGTTTTGGCCCCAGCAACATGGACGGTCCAGAGTGGATTGTTCCTGTGTAGATAAACAACCCCCTCGTTCCTTCCTTCCTTTTTTCAGCTCTGTGGTTCCCAGGCGCTCCCTCCTCTTCCCTCAGCCGTGCCTGCGTCCAGATCTCTGGTTTGTATCCCAGGGCCTTTATTTCTGTCTGTCTCAGTCCTAAAACTGCCCTGGAAGGCTCTGAAGTGCTTTTGTTGCTGCAGCTGACGGGAGCGAAGCCTTCCAGGCTGCATTAGTGCTGCTTCAGGCTGGCAGGCAACAGATGGAAAATAAAGTAGTTCAGGAGCTCTGGGGATGGTAATGGTGCTGCAGGCAATAGAGAGTCAACACGATTAAACAGCAGAATACAGAGTGTTTATCCTTGCTGTGGGCTTTTAGGGGATGGGAGGGGAAGCTGCCTCGAGTGGTGGGTCACAGGGGACGTGCTGCGGGCTGGCTGGCAGTGATGTGGCTCGGTCACCCTTCCTCTGGCCCCGGCGCGGAGCGTTCTTGTCCCTTTCCCTTCATGCTGAGGAGTGGAAATGACTAGAAGCATCTAGAGCCTTTCTGGGGCTGCGCCGTGGGAGACGTTGCGTTTCGGTGGTTGATCTATCTCCGTGGGGGCTCTGCAGAGGGAGAAACTGCAGCAGAGGGTGGCTGGGATCTTGTGGAAGTTTCTGGAGAAGACGGGATTCGTGGTTCCCTGGCGTATGGCCGGCTGAGTTGGCCATACGGAGCCAGGGGCCGAAGCGCTCCGTGCAGTGCTGAGGCCGGAGGCTGGGAGCCTGCCCCAAGCAGGGCAGTGGTGTGCAGCGATGCGGGCGCGGGTCTGGGCCCGGGTGTCAGTTAAGCTGCTTTCTGCAGAGCCACGAGGGCGCCGCTGGTTTCCTTCGTGCTTCTGTGATGTGCACAGTCAGGTGTTTGACGGCCCTCGTTTCGCCGTGCCCTCGTCATCACAGCAATCGCCATCTCCAGGTGCTCAGAATTTCCGCAGGTTTAGGACTAACTGGAAAAAGTTGGAAATTTTTCTGACTAAAGACTTTGGGGCCGACTCTGAGCAAATGATTCCATTTGAATTACTCAGCCAGATGTAGTTTTAATATGCTCATGCCAACAGTTCCTGGACACCGATCCCTATTGTAAATAGCCCAAAATCCTGCCAAGGGGCATTAATCTTTCAATTTGATTGCCGTGTTTGTGCGCTGGGAAGAATGCGAATGAAGCTGAGAGGGGCCGGGGTGGATTTCTGCAATGAAACCTCACTTGCCTCTGCTTCCCAAACCAGGAGCTGGCACTGAAGTCGTTGGGAAACGAGGGGCTGTTTCTCTTTTCGTCTCTGGACACCAACAACGACCTGTACCTCAGCCCGGAAGAGTTCAAGCCCATAGCTGAGAAGCTGACGGGTAGGTGTCTGCCTTGCGGAGCGCTCTCGGCACAGACCCAGCGAAAGCCAAAGAGAATGCAGCACTCGATGGTTTTTTATTCATGTCTTTATATCTTTTCTGGGTGCTGTTTTGGGTCTTATTTACATGAAGACAGGCTGCTAAGCTCTACGTGTTTCTGAAAAGGCTTAAGCACTCGACATGACTCTCACACAGTAGAGTTTTTTTAAGACTGAAGATCCCATTGCCGGACTAGCAAAGTACATAAGTTACTTTGTCTAGAGCTTAAAGAGGATTTGGGATGGGTGAATGCAACAAATACAGCTCAGCCCGGGCTGGGCCAAAACTATTAGTCGCAGCGTTTCATTCATGCGCTCCCGCGGCTGTAGCAGCCTCTCTCAGATAGCAGTTGGGAGAGATGGTGTCTGGCGACTGTCAGCGTGTAGCAGATATCTCCTGGTGGTGCCAAGCAGGAAGGAACGTGGTGATAATGTACAGGAGAGCTTACAGTGCAGTCGAAACGCAGACGGTTGTTTGCTCGTGCCGTGATGAATTGGCTGCAGCATGTGTTCTGATCCCTCATGGGTGAAATGAGACGGCTTAACTGAGCCTGGGGAGGGGTGGGGGTTAGAGAGTCGTCTGCTGAAGGGCTGCCCTTTAATTCATGTGGCCGAAGCTGGTCTCTGGGGTGGGTTCTGCCACTGCTTACAGTGTAGGGGCAGCTGGGAAGCTCCCAGTGCTCCTGGATTTGCCAGGACAAATGTGTAATCACTTCACAGTTGCTTAGAAGGGGAGGGAGGGGAAACAGCTGCTTAAATTCCTGTCCCTCTCTCTAGGGGTTGCTCCCATCTCAGAATTTGAAGAGGCAGAGACGCCCGATCCAAGCGGGGAGACGTTGTCCGTTGTGGCTAAATTCCAGCCCTTGGTCATGGAAACAATGACGAAGAGCAAAGACGGTTTCTTGGGAGTAGGTATCATGCAGGATGGGTATGGCCAGAAATTCTGGTACAAACATGTCCAGCGGGCTGGTAACATCTTCTCAGGAATGAATTCTTCACGGAGAGGGTGCGGAGCACTGGGACAGGTTGCCCAGAGAAGCTGTGGATGCCCCATCCCTGGAAGTGTCCAAGGCCAGGCTGGATGAGGCTTGGAGCAACCTGGTCTAGTGGAAAGTATCCCTGCCCATGGCAGTGGGGCTGGAACTGGATGGTCTTTAAGGTCCCTTCCAACCCAAACCATTCCATG